ACATCCACACATGAAGGCACCTATCTTCCTTGATAAGGAAGTGGGATGTTTTTGTACAACTACAATAAAAAGTAAGATATTGTACTGGAAAACTGTTCTACTCTTCCATCCTATCTTCTGGAAAAATCTGTAAGATTGCAGAAGGGAGAATACTTGCAACAAATATATTGATGAGGAATAGTTTCTTGTTCAAGAGCATATTGAGGGTTTCTGCATCCTCCTCACAATGGAGAAGAGGCACAGGGACACATAATAGCCCAGTATGAACCGCACTGGTGTATTCCCTGTCCCCAGTCAATGCAGGAGCCAACTGCTCACCAAGGAAATTCACATAAACCTCAGAAGTTCAGGTTGTTGTGTCCTGCAAACTCAAGCCAGGGTGAATTGTTTCTACAGGTAACATGCCACCCAGAATCCTATGTTGGCTGCCAGAAGAATGGACTTCTTTTAAAACAAGGTTTTTAATAGAGCTAAACAAGGTTTTCTGAGAAGAAAATACATACAGATTTCACAGCTACATATATCCCTGTTAAAACAAAGAACAAAACAAACCCTGTTTAGTCCTGGTAAAAAGCCTTTCCAAAAAAAAAAAAGTCCTTTTTTTTTTTTTTTATAGGTTCCAAAACTCTGTGCTCCCATGAATGGAGTGGGATGCACTTTGCCCCTTTCCTGAACATCATCACAGGGGGCACAATGAAACTGTAACTGTTGCCCCAAAGTACCGCTTGGGCACTTGTATAGTGGCTGTTACTGGTGATGGCCCAGACAAGTTTGTTAAGAGCAGCAAGTTTGCTGCCCTTACCCAGGAACTTGTTTGCACCTTCCTGGTACCCACAATAGGGTGGAGTTGCTTGGGTCTGGACAATACAGCAAGCAACACCGTGGATACTACAGTGCCAAGAATAAAGCATGGGTTGTTATGGTGGCTTATTGCTCACAAACAAGTTCCCCTGCAGGAAACAGTCTGGTTTCATATTACATGACAACACACCATGCTTAGTTATTCATGATTGGTTGTCACATTGTATGACAGTGCATATAACAGTGCACTGGCTCAAAGGCAACTTAATTTTCTCCCCTGGCCCTTGAAGTAATTTTCTTGCTTCTGTCTACCTTGTGAGTTTGACATGGCAATGGTGTTGCTTTTCTTGCAAGATAAAATAATTTAACTTCTCTTAGCACAGTGCTAACATAATAGACTTCTGGTGAGCAGTGGCAGGTAAGTATTTGCATTCCATATTTACAATCTGTTCCCTTATGTATATATATCTGTTCATTAATGGTACATTTGTTAAACTACTGTACATTTGTTCTGTGCATCTGTCATGGGTACAGTTTTCATTATATTAACTCATGCAGGAAGAATGGTGAAAGTCAGCCCTAATTGAATAGAAAGCAAATCTATTTTTGTTAATTCCTGAAATACATATGCCTTATTGTAACTTTGCTGGCAATTTCCTTAAATTAGGAAACGAAATACACATGAATTCTGAAGACATTCAGTACTAACTAGCGTAAGAATAAAAATTGGTTGACATCAAAGTATTTTTGTTTTCTTTGGTAAATGAATTATTTAATGAATTTCTTAGATGCTGAAATAAATAAGGCTTTCATAATAAGAGATGTTTATATTAAGTGGAATTCATTTAAATTGAAGAATTGCCCCTTTGATCTTTCAAGATTTGTAGAATAAGGTCTTAGGCACTTTTCCGAGTCATAGAATTCTATTAAAGCAAGAATCCTTGTATTTGTTCACTTTAAAAGCTCTAAACTGGCCATTAAAAATAATGGGTAGGTTGGAAAAAAAGGGGTGTAACTCATTTTGTGGCTTTAGGCTGTAAATCTATCATTCTTGCTGCTTCTCATGCATGTGAAGGTGACCAAATTGCTTGTTTTATGGAATGTTTTGCTTTCATCTGAAGTGGATTTTTTTGTTTTTTTGCTTTTGTTCATTTTTATCAGAGTGAGAAACAGGATACTTTCCTTTATAGTACTTCATTGGCAACTGTGATTGAATATGGCCATCTCACCTTCTTAATATGTGGTTTACTCAGCACTAGAACCTTGCCTCATGACAGCGACTGACTTATTTGATACACATAGGATCAGTTAATAAGGCTTGGACAAGTTTCTTGTATTGTAAGGGACATGATTCTAGAAGGTATTCTTGAGCTACAGTGCTAGAGTCCCCTTTCACTGTATGCTACAACAACCTCTCTGAACAAGAATGAATATCCACTGAAGCACAACGTTAATTCTGTATGTCAGAGTATGAGCACACACATTTTATTTATTATGTATCTCTAGCACTACCAGGATGCTTTGCAACCTGGCAAAGCAGTCATTATAGCTTTCTCTGTACAAGCTGAGGCAGATTCCTCTGTTCAGTGTCCACCATCTGGCAACATCTTTCCCAGGCTTTCAATAGACAAACAGGAAAGCTTCTTGGAAAACATCCTTTCTGGCTTATCGGGATTAACATGAGACAGAGTTCCTTCACGAAACACCTGAGAACCCTGCTATGAAGAGATGTTTCAGTCTTTCTACTTTAAGCTACAATTACAAAGTGGAATTTAGAAGAAATTACATAGTTTCTTTTTGGTTGGAACATACATTGTTAGACATACTATTAGTGTTTGTCCCTTCCAAAAAGAAACTCTGTAGGCTTGTAACTGTTTATTAAAAAGTGGAGAGATCATTCACCCACTTTGTCTTCACTTATGAAAATGAGGGAACACCTGAAGGCCCCTCCAAAAACCCTGAAGTGTTTAAGACCTACCCCTTTCACAAACAAGGATAACTTGTGGCATTGTTAACATTTGACAGCTCAAATGCACAAATCAGACAGGAAACATTTTTAAAAGGAGCACAAATGTTTGCATAGATTATGGTGGACAATAAAAAGGCAGGGGAACCATAGATAGTCACTCCAAGGTTCCACTGGAGCACCCAGGAGGGACTCTCATAGCTATCAAAAGGCAGAACTGGTAAAGGCAGCTTGGCAGACACGTTTCACAATCTGGAGAAAACACAGTGAGAAATTATTGCAAACCATTATTAGCTCAATACAGTAGTGATGAGGTGGGGTAAAGCCCCTGCAAACTACAAACAAGTGCTACCTGGGCAGTTTTGGAGTGGCTGGCAAATGTGGATATGCAGCAACTTCTTGGCAAGGGCTATACGGATTTTATGCTGCTTTTGTCACGTGGCTCTGTAATGGTTTGACTGAAGCCCTGGTCAGTTGCATTATTCAGTTTCAGACAACACAAGTCACCATAATTTAAACAAACCTCACAACGAAGGGTGACAAAACTACTGTGGTTTCAAATGACACACTAGGCCACCATGACTTAACATGCTACATGAACTCAGTCAAAGTGTTCATGAGTACTTTTCTACTGATATATCAGTGACAGTATTACATCTTTGGTAACCCTGGTCTATCCTGGAAGTTATGTATTCCACAGAGTTCAGATTTACATAAATCCATTCTTTCATACTGACCCTATCCACTCACAACCAGGAAAACTTTGCAAACATTTTCCACAAATGGCTATCTTCTTGTTTTCAGCAGGTGGCACCATAATACTATTTTGCAAGTTAATAGCCTAATAAAAGTTAACAGAACAATTGTATTTATAACCTAACATACAATTCAGGAATCTATGTGGTTTTTGTTTTTTCCTTCAATCTCTAGTTATTTAAACATTTACAGAGTTTCTCCATAGAATAACAAAATTCTTACCTAAACTTCTGAAGCAGATTTTACCAGTAAAACATACTGTTCCACATAATGCATGCTCGAGGACTATGTTTTTGATTAATGATTTTTTCTGTCGATGAAGAAATTTATTATGACATTGTAAAATATCACACCAATTTATTGAAATGTTCTTCTATGTTACAAACTGTTATTTCACCAGTTCATATATTACTTATAAGATTCTTTTAAAGGCACCAAGGAAAAAATACATCAAGATCACAGTCTTATGAATTGCACTGCTGATAAGCAGAACCCCCCCACAGCAGAGCCCTGTACCTATGGGAGGTCTGCCAACAAGAGCCAGGCAGGGTAAGAGAAGAACAGAAGTTCTTTTGGCCCATGTAGCATATCTACCTACATTCCACTGGGTGAGGGGACTAAGAGGCTTCCGGATCTTTTAGAAGACCATCTGCCTCTCCTTCTCTGTCTACCACCATGTTCCTTTTCCATCCTCTCCAATCTATTCCAAGGTTGCCAATGCAAATGCAAATAGTGAAAATATTTCCAGATTAACCTGGCTTTTATTTAACAGTCTATCAGTTTAAAAACCAATGGGGCTAAGCAGGCAGGCTGCCTGAAATGCATCTGCTCCCCCTTTTACCATAGCAACCACAATCAATTCCTTCATAGGCATGTCGTGAGTGGATGTGGGCATGTCGTGAGCGGAGCCAGCTGGTGCCGGAGGTCAGACTAGATGGCCCGGGAGGTACCTTCTGACTCACTCTGTTTCTATGTTTCTAGAGGCAGTGAACATGATGTCCATTTGCATCCTGACAAGGTGATTAGAGACTGAACAACTTAGCAGATAAGCCACAGTTTGCTGTTGAGCAAACAACTAGGTTGTTTAAGCCCCAAATAACCCATTAGTCCAGATTCAGACACCAGACTCCACAACATATGAAGATCTGATTGTGGGTCATGGAATAAAAGCACAAGTGGATGAGTTTCAGGCAGGATGTCCTCTTGTGCACAAAACCCATCAGATGTTTTAACTGACGGGTTGTCATCAGTTAAATAATGACTTTTAAGCTATCATAGGGTCTCACACAGTCTTTTTTATTATTAGCAGCCATAACATTTGTGAGGTCTACTTTAAAAGTCATTTTTTCATCAGATGTCACAATTATCTATGTAGGCAATGGTGAAATCTAATCAATCTTTCAAAGGAACTAGAAGCTATACCATAATAGCAGCCATATCTGCATAATCTAGACAAAAGAGGAATAATGAAACTTACCCAAACTGTTATCACTGCTTGTTGGCCAAGAAGCAATTCTATCCCTTAATGCTTTCTTTTTATGAGTCTCATCTGATTTTACTGAAAGTTCCACCTCTTCTTTCCTGATTTCTCGCACGAGCTGCATACGACATCGTGTAAAATCCTGAAAGGAAATCTTCCCATTTTCATCTGCACCGAGTTGATGCATTATCTCCACCACAGACTCTTCCATGTTCAGCTGGCGACACACCATTAGTAAGTCATTCCTAAAAATTAAAAATAAGACAGTAGAGTGGAGAGAAAAAAAGGCAAACAGCAGTAACTTAGCTCAAATGCAAACTTATTTGTATAAGGGGAATAGGCAATACTATGCAAAGGCCATTTAAGTCCAATAAAACAACTGCATATTTTTTCTTATTTCAGCAAGGGTACTTGGCATAACCACATTTTACAAACCCTTGAGCTTCCATGCACACTTTTTTTTTTTTACAAATAAGTTTTTTACTCTTATTCAGATATGGAGAAATAAAACCTCTATAGAACTCATAAGGGGATAGAAAGGGGACTGAGAAGATGACTATAATGGCATGCATTTTTAATAGCCCACTAGGTGCAAATTTAACAAAAGTGAGATGTCTGGAAACAAAACCTAAAACTTAATGAGGATATGACTATCCCATTCCACCTAACAGCTCATCATGCTGCATGAGACTCTCTACAGGGGAAGAATAAAAAAAAAACCAGGAATCTAGAACACCTCTGGGAATCCTGTACAGCTAAATCACATCCAAATGGCCTGTACTTTTTATTTCACTTAAAGGTGGAAAATTCTGAAGTAGGAAGTGTGTGTGTGTGGGAGAGGGAGAATACATACATGTGTGTATACCATAAAGACACACCCTTGTACCCCTGGCTTCCAAAGGAAAGCAAATGAAAACATTAAAAAATCTTTTTGCAATTGACATTCAGCCTGAGCTCATTTAACTTCCAACCTAGTTAAAAGTTTCAGCTGATCTAAAAGAATTATTAAGTGAAGTTAACACTAAGATCAGGAAAGTACACATCAGTCTAAGAAGTTATAAGAACGGCAAGAAGAACCAAGTAAATTTAAACAATTCTTAATCCATTTCAATGGGTGAAGCATAGAGTCAAATCTTTCCAACTTAAATCAATGCAGCTTGAAAGGGTATGCTTTAGGTGAATTTTGTCAAGTACTTGTATGTCTATATATTTTTTCTCATATTTTTCTGATGTGGATCCACCACTATGCATCATTAATTTTTAAGTTTGTAACTAATTTTAAAGGTGATTTTTTGTGCTGTTGTACTGAGGGACTATTTTTGTGCAATACCGAAAAGAAAAGAAAAGAAAAATGAAATGTCGACCAAAGTAAATTAGTAACATTTTCAAACAGCCATGTTGAATCAATGAATATTAAGCTTTCCAATGCGGGCCACGTTTTGGGAAGCCTTTGAGCAAAGCATTCTTACAGAGTCCTTCTTGCTTGAGGAGAGGCACCTCCCCCTCACCACAATCCCCACTGCTCATTGGCTTGCCCTATATTCCAGCTATCCTGAGAAGATAATGACTGGGCAAATAGAAGCTGCTGCTCCTCTTCACTCCTGTCCCTACACACTCACTTTGAAAGGAGTAAGTCAATAAGCAACAACAGCAAATGCAAAAAACAGCCAACTGGCACTTCAGTACTGATGCATTAAATCCCACACCTTTGGGAAGAAAGTATGCATAGCAATAATTTGCAAAACTGTCTAGTACATCTTAAAACAACCATGAGGAGACTTGGGAGGCTCCATGAGTTGTCCCATACCTCCAATGCATACCCTGAGGCTTGGTTCATAGCAAGTAGCCAAGGATGCAAATCCTACAACCCTTCTTATATCCTAACTCCTAACCAGAATAGAACAAACGCATACTGAGAGGGACGCTCCAACTCTGATTCCCCTTCACTGTTGACCCTGTGGGAGTTGATAATGACAAAGGCAAGGGCCTATGCCGATAAAAACAGGATGAATGCTAATTTTCTGGACTCTTCTATGCTGCCAACTATAACATCCTTCTGGATGGGTTGGGATGGCAGTGGGGACACTGTGTTGCAGTAGTACAGCCCATTCCCATTCTAGGGGCCACTTCCAGAAGCTGCTGGGAAACTATTTTTGATGGTGTAACCTCCTTGAGGTACTGTGTGCATGCTGTGGATATAATATAGCTTGACTTCACAAAGCTTTTGTCAAAGTGCTCCATGATAGCAAACGAGCTAAAAGTGGGTTAGGTGAAGCAACAATAATGTGGATCCACAGTTGGCTACAGAATCAGACTTAAAGAATGCTCATGGCACCTCAAACTGGGGAGACATAAGAAGTGGGGTACCACTGGGTACAGACCTACACTTGTGCTCTTCAACATTTTTATTAATGATCTGTATGAGGAAGTACAGAGAATGATTATCAGATTTGCAGGGGACACAAACAAAGGGTGGGATAGCTAATACTCTGGAAGACAGAAAGACAATTCAAGGTGATTTTGATAGGTTGGAAATCTGCTCTGAAAACAAAAGAATGAAATTCAATGGGGACAAATGCCAAGTTCTTCACTTAGGAAAAAGAAACCTAATTGCAAGATGGGAATACTTGGCTCAACAATGCTGCAAGTGAGAAAGATCTTGGAATGATTGTAAATCACAAACTGAATATGAGTCAACAATGTGCTGTGGTTGCAAAAAGGTAAACCCTGAAATAGGCTGCATTAATATAAGTATCACTTTGAAACGATGTGAAATACTAGTTCCCCTTTACTCAGTGCTAGTTAGGCCTCATCTGGAGTACAGTGTGTCCAGTTTTGGGTACCACAATTTCAGAAAGAAGCAGATAAGTTGAAAAGCATTCAGAGGTGGGCAACAAGGATGATCTAAGGACTGAAAACAAAGCCCTGTGAGGACAGATTGAAAGAAAGGACATTTTTAGTCCTGACAAGAGGAGACTGAAGGGAGATATGATAGCACTCTACAAGTGAAAGGCTGTCACAAAAAGAAAACTCAGGATCTCTTCTCAATCATCCCAAAGTGCAGGACATGGAATAATGGACTAAAGTTACAGGAAGCCAGGTTTTGGTTGAACATCAGGAAGAACTTCCTGACTGTTACAACAATAAAACCTAGGGATGTTGTGGGCTCTTTCACACTAGAGGCTATCAAGATGCAACTGGACATCCATCTAAGAGGGATGGTTTAACTTGGAGTCCTGCACTGAGCAGAGGGGTGGATCTGATGACCCTCTGACCCCCATTGCTCTCTACTATTCTATAATTCTACAACTCAGTAAGTCTGCCCCATAGCATTCACACTGTGAGGTCATGCAGAATTTTATTTTGTACCCAATTTTCTTTAACATCTACATGAATCTGTTATATGAGGTTATATGGAGATAACAATCAAGGTGTCATCAATAGACCGATGATACCACCTCTCTTTTTAATCAGTTTTTGATATGACTGTCAAGGAACTAAGCCAGTGACCAGAGTTGATAATGAGGACAAATAAACTGATATTCAGACTGAGATGGCTACTTTATTTGACTTCAGCTTTTTTTGGAAAACATCTCACCTTCCTTCTACCTGCAAAGATTAGGTTTTTAGTTTGGGGGTGATGCAACTATTGCCATAGGTCCAAATGACTTCCATGCACCTTTCATCACTTATGACTTCTTTGTAACATTCTGCCCTACAAAGCTCTCTTGGCACTAAACCTGTTGTCTTTACAGTGCAATTTGTCCATGCCTTATAGAATGGCTCCTCAAACTAAGGCCCGTGGGCTGGATCCAGCCCGCCATACCCTTTTAACTGGCCCGCCCCACAGGTTTTGCACTCGCTGGGCACACGCACAGGCATGCGGCTTGCTTGCGAGGAGGTCATTTTGAACTCGCTTGAAGACAACGATCTCCTCAAGAGCAAGTCAGCACCTCGCTGTGTGTGCAACCAGCAGCAGCTTGCTCGCAGACTCCATCGGAGAAAATGATCTCCTCGTGATAAAGCTGGCACCTCACCCCCACCTCGCATGCATGCACGTATGCGCTCCCCTACCCCCCGCCGGCAGCCCGCAGCCACCTCTGGCACCTGTCAACTGGCCCCCTGTTCAAAATGTTTGAGGACCCCTGCCTTATAGCATTATTTCTTACATTTTAGTACGTAATGTGTGTGCTTTATCTTCAAAAGACTGTCTGGATTCAATTATAAACCAAAACAAATATAAAAGCTTTCAGAGCCTTTAAAACCCATCCCAACATTATAATCCATTTGAAAAGAAGAACAGAGTTGAAAAGTTTAGCTAGCTAGGATCAATCCACATACATTGCCATGCACTATAGGCATAGAAATGATTTCCTGACTACCAGCATGCAACATGTCACAAAATATATTTTTTCACTGTGCTTATAATCTCCTGCAAAAAATGTCAGTCGCTGCATTCATCTTTTAAAACTCCACTGTTTGTTATTGTACTGGAATATATTAATAGATTTCCTACATATTGGGCTCTCTCAGTGCTATAAGCCTTGCTGATTTGGTGACATGGACGAATGACTCATAAAATACCCAATTTGAGCATGCAGGAAGCAGGGAATGAAATCAAAGCTAACATACCTCATTTAGGAAATTAGTTCTTATTTTGAAACAACTAGCATAGCAGCATCTAATTAAAGATTCCAAATTTACAAGATGGTGAAAGAGCACAGCATTTTTACTAAGTGATAAGAAATGATAACTAAAAGGCAAATATGAAAGCTGAAACTACACTGGCAATTTTACCTATTGATTCAGGACCCACAAAGAGGGGACAAAGAATGTAAAATATGACAGGGTTTCTTCTGCACTGTGTTTTACCAGCAGCTGCTGTTCTGGGAAAACACCCAATACTAACAAGAGTATAAGGAAACAATTATCAAAGAGATGCTAAGAAGCTAAATTAGGCAGACATGTGAATGGCTCCCAAGAAGTATGTGGCAGAATAGACTTAATTGTGTTCTGTATTAAGAAGTCATATGAAACAAGCAGATAGACATGTATTTTAGGTTCTTAATATATAATGATCAATGCTATTGGATACATGAAGATAGTAATGCATCAATATCTATAAACTGTAAATAGTATTTCTTACACTAAAGTGACATCCATGTCAGTACGTAGAACAGCCCTAAATGATCTTAGAAAAAGAGGATTGCATGGAGAAAGCTAATTACTTTCAACTAAGTACCAG